GGACCTGAGTCCGGTGCAGAGTCAACACTGTTACAAACAAACACTGTGCCCACAGCAGCAAATGACATATGATGTTAAAATCAAAAGAAGTCTTATTAATACAGTAAGGCTTCTTCATTGAAGAATGAGTAGTTGACTGGTTGTTCTAAGCTCTAGAAAGATCTGAAACTTCGGAATGGTGCGGAGTCCGGCCTGGTTCCGCTGGCCCTGCAGCCTTTGGTGAGCATGTACCACCCCCAGGCTCTCTGCGGAGCGGACCCCGGGGTGCGGGGGCACCCACGGCTCGCCTGGCCCTGCAGAGCGCGGTCTCCTCTACAGCGAGACCCTGGGTTTATTTCCAGAGAATGCTTTTCTTGCCCTTGGCATTAAAAAGTAACAGAAAAATTTGCCCTAATCAAACAGAATGCCTAGAAATCTGACTAGAATTTCTATTCATATTTTGAAAAAAAACCCTAAAACACAGCACTAAAGAGTAGGGATAAAATTATCCCAAGGCCGTTAACATTTGGGATTAATAGAAGAAAAAATATAATAATGAAGACATATTCTAGCTGATCAATATATATAACACATGTAAGTTTGACACGTCACAATCTCAGTGGCACACAGAAACATCTAAAGCAGAGTCAGACTCAGGGGCCAGCCCAGGGGCCAGAGGGAAGGGGGCTGGTGAAAAGGATGAAGGGATTAAGAAGAACAAATCAGTCTTCATAACATATTCACCGGAATGTAAAGTACAGCATAGCAGGTATCTATAATAATAAAAGCATAATATGCTAATTAGACTGCACATCCTTCGGACAAAGCTGGGACTGTAGCCTTGGGATCGAGGCCTATTTTTGCACGAATTTCGTGCTTCGGGCCTCTAGGAGTCACAGATATTGCATTAACTATGTGTGGTGCCAGGTGAGGACTGAAAAACATCCAGGGGATCACTGTGTAAAATGTATGATTGTTTAACTACCATGCTGTACACCTGAAACTAACACAAAGCAATACTGAATGTCAACTGTAATTGAAAAGTTAAAAAAGAACACCGAAGTGCCTTTTGCTATACATCTCCTCCCGATGTCTCTACATGTACTTATAAAACCGGAGCTGTTGATACATATCCCTGTGAAGATGACATTCCAGACATGAGTGCTGTCGTTCCCTGACGTACAGCTGCCAAGGACCGAGTCTGCTTCAAATACCTGAGACTATGAAACGGCCACGCAGGCTCCTGTGGCAGCGGAGTAAATGTGGAGTCACGGCCTGTCGGTGTTGAGTCCTCCCTCCCCCCCAGACACACAGAGGACAAGCCAGCCCTCGCGTAGGCTCAGCAGGCCCCTCTGTCACTGCACCGTGTTCCACACAGGGAGAGGCTGTCGTGTAGGTGGAGGAGAATGGAGGCCGGCGAGGTGCCCTTCAGTAATTCCGGAAGGTTGCGCCCAGGATCCCTCCTGCACACACCCCCGGTCTCAGAAAGATGCCCGGGAACTGCCTCCGGCCACAGAAACCGTCCTGGCTCACCAGGGCCCTGCAGCCGCCACCCTTCTGTTTGCAATCGTGTCCGGAAGGGAAAGTTCTTAGTGGCTCTGCTTCCCACATATCTCGAGGACTAATTAAATCCTCATTACCACCTTCTAATTATTCACACGCTAAGGGATTACAGGAGAAGTCCCTGCTGGCGCCCAGACGAAAAGGGTTAAACAACCCGTGTTGGTTTTGAGAACCCAGGTCTAGTTCAGACCTTCGGAAAACCAGCATTAACATGCATATTTAACTAGGTGCCACTGAGAAAATTAAAAGGGAATTCAATTAAAAGGTTTTAAAAAAATTAATTCTGACCTCTCCACATCTGTCCAAATAAATAAGCCTTCTTGAAACAGTTTCACCTAATTGCTAATCCAATAAACTGGAAGGGCATTTATTGGTTTCATTAAGCTTAGCACTTTGCAGGGGTTAAAAATGGGATCATTTTGATGTTAATAATAATAATTCTTATTTATCTACTCCGATGACTGCTCCACATTCCCGCCGAGCCCTCTTGGAAAACAAAACAAGTCACAAGCCTTTCCTATTGGTCTTTTCAATTTTTAAGAAATATATGTTAAAGATTAAGAAATAAAGACAAAACTAAGCTAACCTTGTTAGCTACAATTCTTTTTGGTAACATTTATTTCAATGCATTAGTTATGCAGTGCTTAGGCAGTGTAAATGATACTAGTTAATTTTTTTATTTTAATTTTTTTGGTGAGGTGCTTTAAATAGCAATTCTTTGTCATTCTATGAGGTTTAGAGAGACAATTTGGTTTAAAATAGAAACTATGGCAAATGTGTTAGAGAATTCTAAACTGAAGTCTTGCCCTTTTTTCCACCAAAAAAATGTGAGCTAATTTTTTTTGTTAAGTCAGGAAGCAGTTCCAACACTACATAAAGTTCAGCAGGAGAGAGTGAAGTCGAGCTTATGTTGAGAAGTAGGTGACAGTATGGAGAAGACAATGTTACAGAAGAGTCAGTATAAATACCTCAGTGCTTCCCATGATGGCCACGTCCACAGACTTGCACAAACATGTTCATAGGTGGAAATACAGAACTATAGAGACTCAGTTATTTTCACCTCTGTATAAGGTGGGGAATGGATTTGTGGCTGATGTCCAGAACTGCCAGGTTGAACAGACAACCGAACACTTAGCATGTATTTGTTATATAGGATCATCAGTTATCAAAACCACCCTCCACAAAATAAAGAGAATCGGAGGGAAAACAGTAGCAGACATATCCACCCAGCAGTTTCCATACTGCGACAGCAGAGGAAAATCCTAGATTTTGCTTTGCTAATATATTCGAGTTAAAAGCTTAATTTAACTATGGTTCCTCAGTGTTTTGTCCTGACATTTGGGTTTGTGTATTCGGATTTCTTAAACACACGTCATTGGGAAGGTTGGGGAAGACGTTGTTGGAGGACCTGGGAGGGGTTTCCCTTTTTAGTCGGCAGAGATAGCGGTTAGAATTGTAGTGCTTTCCAATGAGCTACCTCCTCTCCTTTAATGTTTGCAAAGGAAGGAGGATTCTCCCAGAGGAATGATGTTTCAGCAAGGATTAAGGGAAATAACAAACAGCGTCGTCTCAGCTTGGGTCTGGCCTGAGCAACTTCAGTGCGATAATTTCTCTGGTCCTTTTGTCTCCCTCCCTGATCCAGGAGCACAGAGAAGCCGCAGCCACGGCCACGGAAGGAGCTCGGAGAGGATCCCCTTGCTTGGCCTTCCAGCGCTTCCCGTGAATCTCCTGGACAGCCAGCGCCATAGGGAAGTCACACACCAGAGGCTGAGCTGCAAGAATGTTATCTAGGAGGCCACAGTGGGAAGCTCAGAGCAACTAATGCACACATCGCACACTTATGGAACTCAGTGCAGTGTCGTTAGGAAGCAGTGAGAACCAAAGTAGGGTCCTCAGATCGGCAGCATCGGCAATATCTGGACTCGTCAGAAATGCAGATGTTACGTGTCCCGCCTCAGACCCACAGAAACAGGCGTCTGAGGGGGGCCTAGCAACCTATTTGACGTGCTCTCCAGGCAATCCTTACGCAACCTAAAACTTGGAAACAATCCATCAACAATCCCATCATTAAAACGTACTGTAGTAACTTGGTAAGTAAAGGAAAGTATTAATTATACATTAAATGATAATAAAAATGTTAAATATGCAATCAAAATTTCATTGTATTCCTACTAAACAGTCATTTCAACACAAATGATGTGTAGGTAAGGCTAAGCCATCTTTTCAGTGACATTAGTTTCTAAGCCACATACTACTGAATTTTTAATATGTAAAATATCTGAACCTTATAATTCTAACCAGTAACAAATCATATATAACTCATATAGAAATAATTATAAACATTAGGGGTAAGGAACTTTTAAAACTACCGACTTGTCTTGTGGGCAAGTATGAGGGGGAAGGGTGGCACCTCCTGTGGGGGGAGGGGGAAGCCAGCACCCGATGGTGCAGCATGCTTGTGAACCCCTCTCCTCTAACATGGATTAAGATCACTGCACCACCACCACCACCAATAAAAGTCACTTGGGCCCTAACCAGTTTGGCTCAGTGGATAGAGCATCGGTCTGTGGACTGAGGGTCCAAGGTTCAATTCCGGTCAGGACCATGTACCTTGGTTGCGGGCACATCCCCAGTAGGGGGTGTGCAGGAGCAGCTGATCGATGTTTCTAACTCTCTATCCCTCTCTCTTCCTCTCTGTTAAAAAAAAAAAAAAAATCAATCAAATATATATAGTTATAAGAAAAAAAAGTCAGTTGGCTATGAGAGGGAAGAAAAGACACAGATGTCAATAAACGAAGGCCAAAGGCAGTGGAAGGTGGAGGTCAACATCAGAACATGCAAAGGGCCAAAGGGTTGGCGTGTAACAACTGGACTGCTCAGGGCTGCAGGGAAGTCCTTTGCTCTGGCCCTGGCCCCAACCAGCCTCTGAGGAAGAGGAAGTCACAGGGAAGAGCCTCTAAGGCCCCACTTTCTTCATCTGTACATGGAGGTGACAGACTCCCTGATCTTTCTAGAAGCTCCAGTGATAAAAACCAGGTATTTTATAACACAAGGTCTTACTGTGATTAAATTTTTAGTATTAAATATCATGGAACAAATACTGATCAAATCAGGTAAACACCCTCACTAACATTTTACTCATTAGAACCACTATCCAAATTGAATTGTTAATGGTCATTTTTACACAGCAAAGTCAAATATCGGACTAGAGTTATGTATAAACTGCTTCAGGCTGCTATGCATACATACGTATGCTTTGAATCTTGAACAGTACTTTGGTAAAATTTCACCCAATCTGCAAGAAAGCACCCTCCCCCCCATATTTGTTGTGACATGTAAGGTTCTTATTTGTTTTGTTCATCTGATGAGGAAACAATATCATTTAAAATTATGTACAAGGATACGAATGGGTAAGCAAATTTACAGAAGCCCCACATTCTCAAAATACGGAGACTCACCTCTCTCCTGTGGCATTGGTGACTGGCTCAGCGCAGGGTGGGAACTCGACTCTGACTGGCTCCCAGGTGGCTGGGGGGGCATCTGGCTGCCTGGAAAGCAGCAGGGGAAGAGGCATGAGGAATCCTTGGCATTAATGCTGCTGCTGTGCGACACCAAGGCACAGCGACATACCTAATCTTTATCGTCACAAAAGGCACCACCCCCCACACAGAAAAAGAGCTCAAAAAGCACAATATTTCACCCTTTGTGTGTGTGTGTGTGTGTAAAAATGAAGAGGAAAGATGCATAAACATACTCAGTAAATGACCTGCAGAAAAGTTCAATGTTTACTGGATGAGTTCCCAAACTCAGAGACAAATCAATGAGTAGCTGAAATCTCCTGGCACACACTTCTTCATGGCATTTAACAAAATCCAAGACGGGTGAACTGAATGCATCCTCCTGAGTTTAATCTGGCCTCTAAGTGGGCAGGCGTGATAGTGGCCTCCAGTTTCTCATTGCTAATATTCACTCAATGTTGTAATAGTAACCGATGTCTAAAAACCCTTTGTAATTAATCAGAGATTTAACATAAACTTAGATCTCCATTATAAAAGATAATAACAAGACTACAAAATACAGTGTGTTATCACGAAAGGAGGAACTATCATCTGCATCTCTCTTGATCTCTATTGCTAATGAAGCAAACACCTCTATTTGGTTTCCAAGAACCTAACGCGTGTGCAGTTTGTCTTCTCAAACTATAAGGTAAGCTCCTAGACAGAGGAATGCCTTTACTCCTTTAATCCCTCCATTAGCATAACAAATCTTGGTTATTTAATGCGCTTAATCTGAATCAAAGGAAAAGGTGCTCATTTATTAATTAAGGAGACAATGAATCATGTGAAGGCAGAGAAAGGTTTTGAAATTTAAGAATCATCACGGGTACTTGACGATCTCAACTCACTTTCTGGCTCAGAGGTTTAGACGTATTTCTAAAATAAAAATATAGAATAAAAAAGGCAGTTCAACTTAGCACAGACCTCAAGGCATGCTATTTTATCCTCTAGCGCCTCCCTTGGCTAAAATAAATCGGAAAGACAGAAATACACGTATCTATAATACCTCCCTGGTATGGAGACGGGGGCCTATTAGATCAAACACCACAGGACCGCCTCCTCCACTTCGGCAGAGCCGGAATGAATCACAGGTGAGGAGAGAAGGAAATTAACACACTGTGATCACCACCAATGACAGGAGCAGAGCCTGAACGACACACTTCCGTGTCAGCACCAGGCAGCGAGTCCAGACCAGCAAGAGCGAGTGCTGAGTCTGAGGACATCACTTTTTACTAGCTCTACAAACGGTCACATCTGTGACAGCCAGAGGCGGGGAAATGATCTTCCATACAGACAGGCTAGAAATAGTTGTTAAAATACAACCACAAAAATTCGCATATTGTTTTTGGGATTTAGGCGTCTCACTTTTAGAAAAGAATGTAAAACTTATGAATGCATTTCTGAGCCTTCCTGGGGTCAGCTGCCACTCTCTCCCTCAGGTGAAGTGAAAACCAAGACCTGAATTTCCAGTCACCCAGAAACGCTGCTGGGTAGATACCACTACGAGGCGCTCCTCCTATATCAGAGCCACAACCAGGAGGAGGAGAGACCAGACAAGCAGTCCAGACCTGGACCAGCCGCTGACTCAGACAAGTGTAGTCAATTAGCACCACTAGCAACTAACCAATGTAAACACTTCCCATTCCGGACGAAACAACTTCAAGGGTAGACACTGTCACCAACTTGGCTACAGGTACAGTTGCTGTGGGTCGCGTCCTTGCTATGAAATACCCCAAGGCCCCAACCCGAAGTCCAGTTAAGAAACTTGAAGCACTCTGCAGCCAAATCCTGACTTCAAAACCGTCACGGGAATGGCTCCCCGAGGACACGGCTCACGTCACAAGGACTGTGTCTGCTCGGCTGGCTGCACAGCCTGAGGACAGTGAAGACAAACGCCATCCTGCGTCAGCGGAGGACACCACCACCTGCACGCACGCCCAGGGCTGCTCTTACAGGCAATTCACTAACTGGAAAGAAGGCTGCGTGAAACCCAGCTCATGAATCCACAAAATCCCGCCACACCCACGCGGTGCGACTGCTGGCTGGTGCTAAGACACAGCTGTTTAAAGCCATGAGATAATGTATGTACTAAATCCATCCAGACAGAACTTTTCATGGTAAAGATAGGTTTGCGTAAAGGATTTTAAGTTCCCCATTTGCTTTCACCCCATCTTTCCATCACAGTGTCATAGTCACTATGACTCATTCTCCGGAGGCCCAGGCACAGGCCAGGCCGAGCAATGCTGAGTCAGAAGCCCTCTGAGAAGCACGATGCTGAAGACCATGTGTGTCCAAATTCCACGTGAAGAAGACAAAGCTTTGCACCGAATTCAGTAAACATCTTCAGAATCATGGGTTTTCATGACAGATTTTTGGCATAAGTAAAATGAAGTTGGGTAATTACTTTAAAAGAGAATACTGCCATGCACAGTGAACAAATTCACTTTTAAGTAGGCTTTCACATTAAAACAGTTTTAGAGCAAGTCCATGTTTCTCTCATCTGTGTCTAAAAAGAGATGAAGCACAATGGACAAACAGTTACAACTGGAAAACCCACGCTGTGAGCTGGAGTACATTTCACCACTTTACACTTATGTATTTATTCTCCAATGACCATTTACTTTTGATTCTCAGCAGAGGTCCATACTATGATTTTTTAAAAGTAAATTTTTTATTTATTTCAAAGAAGAAAGGAGAGGGTGAGAGCTAGAAACATCAATGATCAGAATCATTGGCTGCCTCCTTCCTGCACACCCCACACTCTTGACTGAGGGCAGAACCTGTGACTTGGCATGTGCCCCAAGTGGGAATTGAACAGTGACCTCCTGGTTCATAGGTTGACACTCAACCACTGAGCCACACCAGCCAGGCCATATTATGACTTTTTATTTTATTTTTTGCTAATCCTCACCTGATATTTTTTGACATTGATTTTCAGAGGGTGGAAGGGAAGGGGAGAGGCAGAGAGAGACACACACCAATGTGAGAGACACACATTGACTCCTGCACACCCTGACCAGGGCTGAGGATCCCAGTCAGCAACTGAGGTATGTGCCATTGATTGAAATCGAACCCAGTACCCTTCATTCTATCCACTGAGCCAACCGGCTAGGGCCTATGTTTTTTTTAATAAAAATAGTTTTTCCCATTCTCCAATGACCACGCATGTACAATAGTGTGCAAAATTTTGCTCAAACTAAGAATGAAACATCAATAAATCACCTGAATTTGTACTTTTTGCTGACTTTCATATTTTACTTTTGACTCTCAACACAAGTCTATGCTATGTTTTTTAAATTAAAAAAAAAAACACCTTTTATTTTGAATTCATTTTAGATTTAGAGAAGAGTTATAAAACTAGGACAAAGAGTTCTCTTATATCCCTTAACCCCCCTGGAGTTATATCCCTTAACTCCCCTCGTATATAACCATCAAATAATTACCACAAGGAACTTATCATGGTGCGATATCATTAACTGAAGACCTATTTGAATTTCACCAATTTCCCACTTACTGTCTTTTTTCCTCTCAGGATCTCACAGTGCACTTAGGTCTTTTCTTTCATGACCTTGACATTTTTGAAGAGCACTGATCAGTTATTCTCATCCTCACATCCTACTTCATTCTGTCCAGGGGTTCAAGACATTCTCATGTGTCATTTCTGATGGTTTACCTTGATTACTTGGTAAAGTTGATGCCTACCAAGTTCCTTTGATGTAAAGTCACCATTTTGCCCTTTGCAGATGGTAAGTATCTCAGGGGCGATGCAAACCCTGGGTCCCCTCAAGATTGTACCCACTGACTTTTGCATCCATTGGAGAGTCTTGTCTGCCCATCATCACCGCGGTGTTTGCCAGTGAGGACCCTTTGCTTCCCTCGTTCCTTCCCCACTCGCTCACAGGCGTCCGCTCTTCCCCATCTCTGCGTGTTTGCTAGATTGCTTCCGCCCAGAGGAACTCACTGTGGCAGGCACACTACACGACTGCCAGGGAGCCCCACCCTGTCAGAGGGCAGAGCGGGTGGCTTGGCTTCTGCTAGTAAGCAAAGAAATACCCAAAGTGATAAAACATCACCCCAGAACATTGCATGGCAGCTCACGGGATTCTGCAGGGGGAAAGCCCTGACTCCATGACTGAAATAGCCAACAGGGAGAGGATCCGGGGAGGCCTGACTTCACAGGAGGACCTAGGCCTGTGCGGAGCTGGCGGGCTATGGATGGCCTTGAACAGCAGGCTTCCATAGAGTGAACTGAGCCACACGGTAAGGATAGGTAGGTTGCAGACCCTGAGGGCATCACATCAAAGCACAGGGAGTGAACTCCTCCAGGAATAGGAGAAACTGAAGCAGAGCCCCCTCGCCGAGCCTCCAGGTGGAACATGGACCATCGAGGGCCCAGCTAAGCTGCGCCTAAACTCCTGGCCAAGGAAAGTGCAGGAAATAAATGGGTATTGTTTTAAGAGGATAAATTGATGGTGAATGCCACAAGTACAAAAAACTAATAAACTCATGGCTATTTTATTCTATGGATTCAAATCCAACATTGACGTTACTTTGTTGCTCAAATTGTTCTCGCTCTGGCCACTGGACGCTCCTTCGAATCTTTAATTCATGGAGTCACTGGCTGCTCCAGGCTCACTTCTACCTTCCCTGCCCAGCCCTGGTGTCAGCCACTTTCCCAGGAGGAAGGGAAGGGGAGAGGCAAGGTTCTCTGTACGGAGAATGGTTTCAGAGACTAAAACCTGGGCGCTAAGGTCTGCTCATTTTTCTGGGATGTTAATGCTTCTAGACCCTCTCAGTGAACAGATAGAAATCTTTGTATGCACACTAACCCGCACATACACACATCGGAAATTCAGTATTCAATTGTGTATTGTGTGTATGAAAGCATGAGCTTATTCAAATTGCTCTAATTTGACCCCCCCCCCCCAAAAAAAAGAATATATTTTAGCCTTGTTCTTTTCCTTGTTTAGAACTCCTTTTTTCAATGGCAA